AAAAAAAAATACCTATAACAATAATCGTAATCGGAACGATGCAAATCCCGGTGCGCGGAATCGGTCGTGTGTACATTATAATATTATAACACTGTAAGTATTATCGCCGTATCGTATAATTCGTATATAATGCTAATAGACGCGAGTACGACGACGAAAACGGCTGTAATAATAAAAAGGGAAAAAAAAAAACAAAAAAACGTACCTACAATACGAGCGCTCGACGTGGCTAATGGAAACCGTTTAATAATATTACAGTAATAAGTAATAACGACGGTAATAATATGATAACGACGATGATAGTAAGAGTACTGCAGTATTATTATAAGATGCGTCACTCGAAAACACTTATAGTCGAAAAGAAGAGGGTTCGGCAAAATAAACCGATATAGTCGAATTATTATATTCGAAAAAATCGGTAGTCTTTTTTTTTTTATTTTAATATAAGGCATAAAATAACGCTGCACGTATATCTGGCTAGATCATAAATTAAATTTAGTCGCGTACATTATCATTTACGGGCAAACGTTATAAATAATTAACGAACAGACAATGGACATGTTCGGCTATTGAACGACAAGAAACTGAGGCGATTTTGTTTGTTTTGCATTTGTTATGTTTTGTTTTTTTAGAAATAAAATTTTACCGTGGTTATTTGAAATAATTGATAACTCAAATATTATAATTTAAGCACAGAATAAAATAATCTAGTGTATGATTTTAGGAGGGCAGGTGCCCGTGCATATTAATCACGGAAGCGCATGTACATACTAAAGGCGGATTAATAATAATTGATTCCGGAGACCGTACCTCTCGTAAGATTAATATGGACATGACCTATCTGTTCCTATATTATCTATGGGAATCTATGGCTATTCCCCGGGGGAAAATAAACTTAACCCCCCCCCCCAAAAAAAGAAAAAAAAATTACGAGATAATCGACTTTTTATACATTGCACGGGAAATTTGGACAATGTCAATTAAAATAATTTATTTCCCATATAGACTAATATTTGTAATACAATATCTATTATCTGGTCATTGTATAGACCGCTAAAACTAGTGCGGTCGTTGTGTACAATTTATAACACGCCATACTAAACGTCTAATTTTATTTCAGTATCTATTTAAGTAGTTTTATTAACAGATAGGATAGACAACATCGATTTGTACGTATCTACTATAAACCTGCGAGGGCCATCAATTTTCGGCCCGGTCCGATCCAAAAAAATCCATGTAAAAAAAAGTCTAGGCCCGGCCAAAGAATATTTATTTTAAGCACGGTCTGATAAAAAATGTTTAGCCTGACCCGGTCCGATGACATTTCTTTAAAGCCCGATCTGACTTTTGCATTTTTTGTAACTCCCCAGTTACAACGTCAATATTCACCTATTACAATGATAATTTTTTTCCTCGGACCGTGATATACATAAAGTATTTGAATTCATGTCTGTATATGCAACGGGAAATTATTACTTAGTAACAAAAAACAATTTTGAGCAAATTTCGGCGAAACGTATGTAATGAATTGCCACAATATTTTTTGATTTTCATGAAATTATCGTACTTAAAACTTTTGTAAAGAAAAATGTTTGAGTTACGCTAGACTTTTATATAAAACTTAATAGTCATTCGAGAAATTAAATATTTGTTTAAATTATTTAATATCACTAATACCGGCAATGTCTAATTAATATATTCTGCACTAATAATTTAATTTTAAAAACGCAAAAGACGTCCTAGGATTACGGGGAAGGATGCAGCCACTGTTATAGATAATTTAACGTACACCTGTATGCAACGATAAAACCATTGCTCACGAAAAAACGATTCTGAGCGGAGTTCAGTTGATAGCGATGCTTTTTCAACAATATATTTACATGTATGTAATTTTATAGTAAAATAATTAAATAGGCTTTATATATTTTCTTTAATAATATTTGTTTGATGTCGTACCGATATTCCCCGGGTTTCATACGTTTGCCGTATTTGCCCGGTAGTGATTTTCAAGTCGCTCCGCCCCCGAAACGGTTTGTTTTGGATACTCGCAAAACGTCAAATACAGATGTGCCTGTACACTTGTACGTGCGCCGCAACAGCAATCGCCGCGTTATTTATTTTGCGCTCGGTAAATTTCGAACGATAATCCAACACGAAAACTCCAATCCGTCTTGATATCGTCTCGGAATGGTGGCGAACAACGTGAACGATAAAATGCAGCGGTCGCGGCTGTGAAACGACGGGCGGCCGGCAATTCAAGACCGCGGGTTCGAACGCGACCCGAAATCGTCCGAGAACGCCGCGTACGGCCCTGCGGACTCCCCCGTTCCGACGAGTCGCGCCAGCGCCGGTGCGCGGGGGTACGCGTGCCGGTGGGCGACGGTATTCGTTATCTGCGCGCCCGCGAAACGGCAGGCAAACACCGAATGCGTTTTGAAGTCCGGTTGGTCCGAGACACGGGCTCAACAACGCGCGCGCACACGCCACGTACGGTGTGCGGCGGGTACGCGTCGACACGGAAAATCGCGCAAACACACGCGTAACCCTATGACGTTACACCCGCGGTTTCTCGGGAGTTTTCTCGGACTTTTTTCGTTTTTCGTTTCGCCCGCCCGCCCAAAGTCTCCGGAGCCGGCGTGATATCCGACCGCGGTGTCGTTTCTTGCGTATCGAATAACATTTCGGCGCGTCTACACACACACACAGTGGACGGACGGAGTTACGGGGAGCCGGGGACGGCGTAAAAAGACCGGCCCGCCCGACCGTCCGGCCGCCGCGGCCACCGACCCTCGGCGGGCGTCGTTATTATCGTTATTAGTGAAACACCTCTCTGTGGCGCGCGCGAGACGGCCCCATTCGTAATGCACGAGTACAATCGGCTCCGCCGCCGCCGACGGTTATTAACGACCGACACGGGCGTGTTTCTTCAAATTTTTTTTTTTCGTTTTTCGATTCGGCAGGCGGAGTGAAGTTCGGATTCGTTCTCTCCCCCCCGTCCGACCGTTACCCCGCGCGCGGCACTGTTGTTATTTTATCGCCGTTGATTATACGCGCGCGGCCGCGGACGTTCTTCGCCCCCCGAAAACCGCGTTCGCGTGACACACCGTACCGTACCATTACGTCGAACCGAAAAACGGAATTATAATTTCCGATCTCGGTCGCCGACGCGGTCACAAAGACACGCGCCCGACCCGACCGCCAACGCGGCCGCGATACGTCCGCGCGCAATAACGTAATAACACCTAACCGAGTGTTTCCCCCCCCCCCGAATATAATACGACAATAATTGCGTCCCAAATACGTTTTTAATGTCCCGCGCTCCGTCGCGAGCGGCGGTGCGGTGCGGTGGGGGGGAAGGGGGTAATTCTTTTGTTCCGTAAACGTTTAAACGGTTACAGGACTGTACGGGGGCGTCTACCAAACCGCGACAGAATAGCCGATAGGTACTATGATATTACAATATCGCTCGTACACGATCGCAGTTTTTTCGACACGCGCACGATCCGCCGCTCGTATATTTCGTCATTTCGCTCTGGTGTTCCTGCTAACATTGTCATCGCCCGCGCGTGCGTGATATGTACGCACAACAGTGGCGAACAAGTGTCGGGGAACAACTCGATTCAAGTCGCGAGTTACTGTGGCGAATTAATTCACTTTGTAAGCCGTTCGACGGTAATTTGATTACGTCGGTTATTTATTTAATTTAATTTTTTTTTTTTTTTCTTTAAACACGCGCGAATGTATTTTTAAAAATTCGTTTTTTAACGAAATTGAATTTGAAATAACAAAGGATAACGCTCGAACCAATGACCATTGTCTTCTTCGGTCCTCGGTTTAGCTCAAACAATCGATTGTTGCAAAACGAATCTGCTGTTAACGATTGTGTACCGCCGATCGTCATTAGGCACCTGCGGTTGACGTACAATTGCCGTGTGACCCATTGAAAACATATTTACCGAGCTTTGACGGCAGCGGGTGGGCCCGGTTTTCGGCCTTTAAACAAACCCATACGCGTTTGTTTTTCGTATTGAACACGCCGAACACCGAATGAAAATCACGAATACCCCGGCGTACCGCGTAGGTTGTTGCGTACACGTTGGCGCGCATGCGCGTCCGTTTCAGATTGTGTTTTGCGCCGCGGACGGTCCGTACCTGTAATACAAATAAAATCGACAAACGCAAAATGAACCGGCGATCCGTAAGCGCTTCCGGGAAAAATATTCGTCCGCGAATCGGTCAACGGCCAACAACAATGACATACTGTACCAGCGGTTCCCAAACTTTTTTTCATTCGGGCATCCCTCCGTAATAATTGAAAAGTAAAAATCGTTCGCGCCTCCCGCAATGGACGTTTGATAAAATAGGTCGACAATTATTTGATATTCGCGTTAGTCAACAGTAAACCGTATTATTTCGGTCTGGGTACGAAATAATTAACGCGAACAATGCGCTTGTTAATTTTTCGAAATTCGAAATTAACGTTGTTACTGCAACGCGCATTTCTTTTACCGCGTTTAGTCTGGACCGACGTTTTGATTTTAACACGGTTACCGCCGAAAATCCTGTTTCACGCGAACACGACGCGGCGAACGGTGTTGGTGTACCTAAAGCTCCGTTGCCGACCCCGGGACATCCGTCTTCAATACTGTTCCGAAACCCTATAAGCGAACACGGAGAAAATCGCATTCGCAGTGAAGAAGAATCGGATGGATAAGATAAGATAATCGTTTCCGTAAAAATTGTTTATCAGACGCGTGATCGGTGTAAAAATAACCGCGTGTACGAAATTCAAACCGCGCGCCGCGCCTCCTTCGGCGTGGCGCGCCGCACAGTTTGGGAACCGCCGTGATTTACGATAAAAATTAAAAATACATTTATCAGAAAAGGTATGCGGCCGACGTTACACGATTACGATTACTGGTCGTCGCCGTCGCTGAACGTGGAAAGTCCGACGACGTCGCTCTGTTCGACGACGTATATTTCGTTTTAGTATCGAATCGCGGCGAACGCCGATGCGATCGGTACCGAACGTATTCGTTTTCGTTTTGTTTCGCGGCCGTCTTTCAGAATTATAAATCATTTCTCGCATTCTGTCTGTGGTCGGTAATTTATAACTAAACGATTTCGCGATTTTTCCGAACCCGTTCCGAAATCGACAAGAACGTCGAATGAAAATGACAACACGGTGGACCAACCACGGAAAAAAAATTGCAAGTAAGTCACTAAAACTAACCGATTAATTCGATTTCTACCGAAATTCGCAATGGTAAAGTGCTCGGCGTAAGTTTCAATCGTAATGAACAACAAACTCGGCCGGTTCTTAATTTTCCCCGTCGAAATATTCGTAGCAAGCAACGTTGTTATTAACGTATTCGAGGACACCTGTGACAACTGCGCGTCTTCATAATTTTGGCATTGATATCAATTGATAGGGAGTTCGGTTCGGTGTTATTGCGAGGTCCTACAAAGACTATTGGCGAGTTTGCCAAAATTAACAACAAAGCAGTAAGTACGACTTAAAAAACAAATTAAAGTTTCTCTTAAAAAAAAAACTGTGTATCTTATACAAATCGAGCCCGTCCTCAATTTTCGCCCTGGACCACGCCCCTGTTTAATGGTATTTTTGAAAACTACCTTATTCTTTATTCCTAATAAAGAAAATTATAGGCGAATTAATAAAGAAAATTATAGGCGAATATTCATTCGCGGCGCGGCGCACCATTATCGATTTCATGCGGCGCACCATTATCGATTTCATTGTTTAAATTTTTTTTTTTTTGCAAACTACGTTCTCCACCAGAGAGATAATTACTCCAATCGAAAAATGACGAGTAATCGGAACCGGAAAAAAAATTATAACCGTTCGGAACCGTTACCCAGGGGCCGTCACGTTTGAGGCGATTGCGTTGGGTTAGGTTAGTTACCCTCCACAAATATTTGTCGTCTCTCGCGTGTTCGCATTTGTACGATCAATATTTATTTCTGTTATAATTCGTCGCGGTTCAGCTGGTTCAATAACCGTTGACTTTCGTCTTTATTATTTCGTCACGATCATAATTATTTATTGTTTGACGGAAGAATAACATTAAAAAACCGTTTTTACGCAACGAAATCGAAACGCGGTAATTTTCTATTCATTATAATTCCGTGTAAGCCGGGCCGGTCCAATAATATTGTCGTTGTCTTTTTAATTCATTATCGTGGCGACCGTACGATTTCTGTGCACTTTGCAATTCTATGTAAACGTCTATTCGAATATTCTTGAATGCGTGTGTATAAATATAAGAAAAATAGAAAAAAATGTTCGACACGTTTTCACAAGCATTCATTGTTGATTTCGTCGATTCGGAAGAATTTGCTGTTCATACTCGTTAGCCAATACGCGTTTTTTTTTTTTTATTCTAAATAATCGTGACATTCATCCGGAGGCGTTTATTGTCGTACAAGTCAATATCGAAACGGTTTTCGACGCACTCTGGACTGGAACACGTCAAAACAAAACCAGTAATGCAGCCACTCGCTAACGTTTGGATACGTCGTTTTTACAATCGTTCGTGACCCCGAATCCTGGAATAGCACGCCAATAGTTACGTTTCAGTCAATTGTACGAGTTTGCAAGTTTATCGAAAACAGAGTCTATGAATAATTGAAAATTAGTTTTAAAAATAGGTTCGCATTATTTTTCCATCAATCAACAAATACAATTTGTAACCGCGACGAAATAGAACAAACAAAAAAAAAAAAAATACGCCCAATGGTTTTAAATTTTCGGGGAAATTTACATAAGTAATTCGGTGGCGAAAAAAATTCAAAGGAATTTACTGTTGATGAGTTTGATGTATTCAATTTTCTATGGAGTCTACATTTGCCCATTATTACGTACGAAAATCGCGCTCCGACTCAGCCACGTAGCTAGGATTTTTTTGTTTATTTTCGGTTGGGGGAGACGGGGTTCAAACATAAAATTTATTATCAATCGCCAACAATTGTACCAATAATCTGATTTTTTGGTGAGAAGCTTAAATTTCAGAGTGGTCCAGACCCCATGGGCCCCGTCACCCTTCCTGGCTGCGTACCTGCTCTGGCTTACAGTTGTACTGAAATGCTCGTATAAATGATATTAAATGATCAACTGGCAAAATAATCTATTGTATTTCAATTTCACTCAACCGATAAATGTTGACTACACGCATCGATCAATATAATCCCATAATGTGCATTTACAATTCAGGAAACTTAATGCACTGTGACGCGAAGTTACATTCGTAATTATGCAGTTGTAATATCATTACAATGAATAAATTATAAATAGGTATACGAGACGTGGATACATCTACAATAATTGTTTGGTTAAGGGGATGTCACAGCCGTATGTGTCATCTCCGTTTTACTAACGCGCGACTACCAAAATTACGTTACTTACTTTATGTAGAACATAAATTACGGGGTTTGGATTAAAATTGAAGTTTGATCACAAGTAACGAACATAGTGAATAAAAGCTATTTAACAATGAATGCAAAAATAACATGGCTGTAATACTTTTTTGTGTGAAAATCGTCTTAGAAAATATTCTCCTCTTTAAATGTTGTGATTTGTATGTGAATTGCCATTTCAATCTGAACTCCACAATTTACGTTGCGCGTAGAGAAAAACAATACAGACAAACGGATTTGGTCAGACAGTACGATATGTGAATTGAATCCTCAGTTTTCCTTCAGTTTTTCTTCGTTTTGTTTCGGTTTTTCACATTTGATAAGAAAACTTCTGAGAAAATCGAAAAACGATCTTCTTAAAGTGCCCCCCTACCCCACACCGATTTCCTTTCGAAAAAGGTGCTGCACTTAAAAATCGGATCGAGATTTCTGTTAGAAAAGTTGTCCACCGATTAAAAAAAAAAAAAAAAAAAAAAACGTATCTGTACATCGTAAGCTTCTTCGCTTCGCTCAGAATCTAAAATATACTAAATTACGCAACAAACACAATAAACGTAGGTATTGGGCGGGACCCAACTCGGCACACCTTCATAAAGTATTTTTTTCAAACGGGAACAAATTCGGCACGGTAGCGGATTTTATTCGACCTCCGGGAAGTTGGGGGGGAGGCGGGCGAGGAGAAGCAATATCGTTTCGGTTCAAATATTATACTTTTAACTGGCACATGACCAGACGTCAGTCAGTCAATGTGACCACTGACCGCTCAATGCGGTAGCACGACCGTCCACAAAAGCCGTGATTGTAAATCCGTCAACACTCGGAATCGTCCGCGTGGATTTCCGAAAGAAATCATTATTTATCCGGTAGTTTGATGTCCGGGGGGGGGGGGGCGTTACCCCTAAACGCCGCGCCTGATTCGGCATGCGGGGTATGGGCTCGGGAACCGATTCGGATACGTCCGTATATTGTGTGCGCGTAGTACCGTAGTGCCGGAACTCGCAACCGCGCTCTCGCGAGAGTCGCGGTCTACGACATTACTGTTAGTACGCAACAGCTCCGGTACCCGTTTGTGCGTCGCGGTCACTGTTTCCCCCCGGACTATTTGTTCCGGAACCCGCGCCCGAACGGGTTAAACAGACGCGCGAAACGTCTCCCGGTCGATAGGGGAGCCCCTACTATCGACACGTTTCGAGGACGGGATACGCGTGCGTTTTAATTAACGTTCCCTCCGCCGGACGGCAATTATACCGACGCGTTCGTACGAACGTACAGTACAACTGCACGACGCGCGTGGTACGAGCGCGATATTAAATCCGGACGCTGCGCGCGTTATTGTCTTTCGTCGACCCTTTCGTCGGAAAATAAACACGGCCAGCGCGTCGGCCCGTCGCCGTTCGGCCTTTTGATCCGCGACGGCCGATCCGGTGGGGGGGGGGGGTATGGGTGGGGCGGGGGCCGTCCGGTCGGCGGCGATTCTCCCGGGAGCGAATGTCAACGGACCGCCGTGATATTTGACGGAAAAGGCCGGCGGCGAAATGTCGCCGCGGTTCCCCGCGTTAATATTCGGCCGCCGATCCGAACGGTCAACAAGTCCGGCCATTGTCCGGCCATTGTCCGGCCGGGTCCGCGCCCGCTGTTGACCGAGTAATTATTACGAAACCGGACCCGGCGAGACACTTCCCGTTATTATGTTTGTCGACCGTGTATATTATAAATAATATGTACAAATAATATGCCTATTCGTTTCGTGTGGACGCCGTGTCACACGGAAGCCGTCCGACAAACAACGGCCGCGCGACACTCGTCGTCGTCGTCGTCGCCCTGTGATACAAAAGCGCGTCCGCGTACCGAGCGAGAGTACTTGAAACGCGGACGACCTCGAGGCGACTGTCCCTAATATAAGGTATAATATTGTTACACGAGTATCCCGGAGAAAAAAAAAACCGACGATTTAAAATATAGCAATTGATTAGGTATTACGGAAAAAAAAAAGACGGACATACTTTGCACGTGGGTGCAGCCACTGTTTGTAGGTGGGAAGTTGGGAAGGTAGAATACAGACGGGAATTTAATGTGTGTTTGTAGGAAACGATAAACCATTACCAACGAAAAAACGATTCTGAGCGGAGATAGGCGATCGTGTTGCTTTGTCAACAATATAATATTTGTGTCATATTGTGGTAAAATGATTACAATAATGTGCGCTTTTGTGACAACAATGATTGTTTAAAAAAGATATGAATAATACAAATTTGATAATAACAAAAAATAAATAAAAACGGTTGCCAATGACAACCTTATTTTTAATGTTTCAATCTTTTTTAACATAAAAAATCAGGTTATTCTCATTAACTTGAAAATTATGAGAATTTCAAAAAATGACCTCTTTAAAGTATCACCCGGAGAACATTTTCCTTCAGAAAAGGTGCTGTACTTGATACTCGGTGTAACTTTCTGATAGAAAAAGTGTTCACAAAAAAAAAAAAAAACAATTTGTTAGATTCTACACTAAACTCAGAATCTAAAATAATATCGTGTTATAAAATTAGAATTTTTGATATTTGTTCTCCTACCAATACCCACAAACTAGCCCATATTTAAGGTGTTGTTTGAGCCTAGGTAACACGCCACTGATAAAACCGAATATCTATTTTACATTTTCAAAAAGTAAGTACTACTTTAAAATAATAAATAGATCAATGGATAATATTACCTGTTATTGGAAGACTACGGTTGTAGTCGTAGTTGTTATATTTGTATTCGTACAGATTCCCCCATTATTTA